GTGAAGAGATAGATCCCTCAATACCGATCATATTGAAGTGATGGGCGAGGTGATGACACACATCCAACGACACCCTCATCTTGTTCAGACATTCGCCGACTGACTCCCTTCGCGATGCCATTTCGCTTGGAACAACAACAGTAACAGTTTCCAGTACCATTATGAGCACATAATTATCATCATCATCATCTAGTGCCAGATCTGCGACAGACATCGGTTCTCCCATTCATTCTTTTGCTCGGATGCTCTTTAAAAAACCTACGTTTCCCTGATCTTTCCCCGTTACCAATTAGTTATATACTACGCTTACGGCGCTCGCAGTACTGCGCGAAAAATTATCACTTTGAAAAAACAAATTTCAGTTCTTTTTCTTTTATTTTCAGTACAATTTTCCCCCGCACACGCAAAAACATTATGTCACATATCATTATAAGTGCAAAAGATTAGAGGGATTACCAGAGGGAAACTAACAAAGAAAAGAAAAAAGAAGGAGGGGGGGGGGGGTATTAAGACGATAGCTATTTGATGAGGAGAAAGCAAACGACACCAGACCACCCGCCAGCCACCCACGACGACCAGACTTCGCCCTGAGCGGAACAGGTCAATTATTACAACACAGACACAGAGATAAGACACCAGAAAGAAAAAAATAGACCACAGCACACGCCAAAGACAGACGACAACGAGCACTCGACCCCAACACCACCCACAGGAAAAAAACAAACAAAAAAGAAAACTGTTAAATAAGAAAAATCAAAAACAAAAAACAAACAAACAAAAAAGAAAACTGTTAAATAAGAAAAAAACAAAACAACCAAACAAACAAATGCAAAAAAGCAGCAGCAGAAGCAGCGTTGGAGAAAATTCGCAATTCCCAAAACTACAAGAGGCGTATTTTCCCCGTACAGTAGAGATATTTCTGGAGAGTGACGTCACACACAAACCCCAACAGTACAGGGGCAGCCGCCAGAGCGCCAGTGGCCGTGATAGGACAGGAGAAGAGAGAGCCATGTATCAGTGACGTAGCGAAACCTTCCTGGCAGGCACTGGCACACTCACACACACCCACACCCATACACACACACACACACACACACTCTCTCTCTCTCTCTCTCTCTCTCTCTCT